CTAAAGAAACAAGTGCAATATAGAAAACTGACAAAAGTTTCGTTTTCAACATTTTTTACAAGTGATCACAATTTGTACAATTGTCTTAAAGAAAGAAAGCTATTTCATACCTTCATGTCCATAAGGTATCCACAAAATTATCAATTCATTTAACCAAAAGTGACCATTGTGCAGATAAAACCTAGAATTATCCTCTTCCAGTGCAATGTGAACTTGTGCATTTCAAAAATGTCTCCTCAAAATTAGACAATTGATAATGTAAATGTAGCTATCAGGCACCAAAAGCTAAGATCCAGTTTTGTTAATTATGGTTGATTCCAAATTGGCTGAATGTATGTATGTATGTATGTATGTATGTATGTATGTATGTATCTCCCAGAATGCTGACTCAGGAATTCTGGGAGTTGAAGTCCATGAGTCATAATAGAGCCAAGGTTGCCTACCCATGACCTAACCTCTTGTAATAGTTTAGAGGGTGTCAAACTTGATCGCGTTACATCATGTATCATGATGTATTGTGACATTTTTTGCCTTTGTGGAGCTGGAGTGGGCGTGGCCTGCGTATGATGCATCCAGCCCGCAGGCCGCCAGTTTAACACCTCCGGTTTAGAGGTTTCAATCAGACAGAATCTTTCAGCTACTCTCTCAAAGTACTAAGTGCCATCACTTGACCAAGAGCCTAAAGATGATTAGCTGATCTCAGAAGCATAGCAACTCTTTTTCTCAGTCTGAGCCAACTGTACTGGGCTTTTTTGTTTCATCTCCTTCATAAGTATCACCTGGTCTATGCACAACTCACTTGTGTCAGCACCTTTTGCTTCTAATCCCCAGTTTCTCAGAACCACATTATCTCTCTCTGGCTCTAACAACTACCAACATGTATCAGACTTTGTGGCTCAGAGCCTGCTGCTATAACCTAATTTGGATAGCTTCATTTGTGATTGCTTAGGAATCAGGAAGGCAGGCAGGCAGGCAGGCAGGCAGGCAGAATAAAAATATGATGATAATGCCTTATTCTAGGCCATGGGTGTCAAACTTGCCATGTCACATGATGTGTTACAACATGTCGCAACTTTTTTCACATTGCCGGAGCTGGGGTGGGCACGGCCTCCGCATGATGCAACTGGTCTGCGGGCTGGCAGTTTGACACCCCTGTTCTAGGCAGTTTTCTTTGAATGAGAACTTCCCAATTAGCTTACAAATTATTACTTTATCATGATTGACTAATGTAAGGGTCAATAAACCATTCGAACATTGGTAGTCAGCAGCAAAAGGGATCCTTCCTTCCTTCCTTCCTTCCTTCCTTCCTTCCTTCCTTCCTTCCTTCCTTCCTTCCTTCCTTCCTTCCTTCCTTCCTTCCTTCCTTCCTTCCCCTTGAAGTCAGTGTTATGTCTTGCAACTGCCTGGATCAATCCCTGCAGTTTTCTTTGCAAGAATTCAGAAGTGATTTGTCATTGCCTTCTTCCTAGGGCTGAGGGAGAATGACTGGTCCAAGATCACCCAGCTGTTTTTGCTTAATGGTATGTGGGAATGACCTTTTAAGATGGGGAGGAGACCCAGCTGGAGGAATGGTCAGGCAAGCAGCAACTGAATGGGACAAAAGGAAATTGGGCATAGCAAATATCTCAGAAGGAACCCTTCCTCATTTCTTGGACTGTATAGGCCATAGGGAAGAAGTGTACTTTCAGATTTACAAGAGTCTGTTCATTTAACTTACAATGAAGTAGAATTAGTCCATCTGGTTGTGCTTCCTACATGGACTACTCAACAAGCACCACCCTCATCTACAAGGAGTCCTTGGTGCAACAACAACAACAGTAAAGTTGGAAGGGACCTTGGAGGTCATCTAGTCCAACCCTGTGCTCAGGCAGGAAATCCTACACCATTTCAGACAAATGGCTGTCCAGTTTCTTCTTAAAAACTTCCAGTGTTGGAGCATTCACCGCTTCTGGAGGCAGGTTGTTCCATTGTTTAATTGTTCTAACAGTCAGAAAATTTCTCCTTAGTTCTAGGTTGCTTCTCTTTTTGGTTAGGTTACTCACAATGCTGACATCATTCTTGCTAGATTTAACATGCATTTCTCCCCTGTTGCCTTTGAGTTTTGCTAGGATATGGATTATTCTCTTATATAAACAGTGCCATAAACTTAGTTGAATGATTGATTCAACTATGGCCATACTCTCTGCTGATTTTGCAAGACAAAGGTCTTTCCCAGGACCTTTCTTTCCCCAGCTTTTACCACGATACATATGCAACTAACATGAATGTGACACAGTTATGAGTCTGTTTAGCCAGGCAAAGGTGGGGAACTTTTATTATTTAGAAATAATGCTGGGGCTTTCTTGAAGTTCTTTGCCTGTCATGACCTCTTCCATTAAAGGGACTGCTCTAGAGAGTGGTGTCCATCAGTTGTACATTCTGATTTGATTGTCAGGATATGTGAGGGACAGGCAGCTAACAGATTTTATTTGAAGAAAGGGAGGGGGGGGAAGACCCGTTTTGCATATTGTTCTTTGCAATTATTGTGATGAGACTTTAAAGTTCAGATGTTGGATATGCAGTCTTTGCTTAAACGTTATCTTCCTTCCTACCATAGAAAGTCTGTGAGAAAAAACTTTTTGTTAAGTTATTTTTGTCCTTTACTCGTCTGTGCATTAAGCTTGCCAGTGGGAACTCCCTTTTTCAAATGTGGGAAATAAATACCTGTCTTCTCCACAGATTTTTGAGTGGAGCCTATCTTTGGAATCTACTGAACAATGTCTATTTTTGATTTTTTTCTTCTTTTTTTAGAGGCAAAACAAAGTCAAAGTGTGACTGTGTCGCATTTGCCTTGTAGTATTTTCTTGTTTATTTAAATGTAAGTTGTGTATGTGTTTGTACTCAGAGACTTGGGGCACAATGTTTATATTCTCTTCTGAGAAATGTAAATATTTACACAATAAAATCTATATAATGGTTCAGTACTAGCAGTAGTTTCTTCCTTAGACTAGAGCACAACTTCTCTGAGTAATTTATTTTTGGGTTATTTTTTCCATCAATCTTTCTGAGAAAAGCACTACTTAGACTATGTAGGTTTCACAATTATTGCTGTGAGAAGTTTATAAATAAAATTCCTAGCTTTTCTACATCAATGCCAAATTCATTAAGGATATTACGTTCTGTCCTGCCAAAAAAATGCTTGATAATTCCATAAGCCACAATGAATTGTTTTAAAGGAAGAATATGTGGGAACATTAGAAAATTAGCTCCTTTTCTGATTCTTGGCTGTATATTATCCATTTTGTATAACCTGTATAAGATGTTTGGCGGCGGCGGCTGCTATTATATTATTATTGTTATCCTTGGGATGGTGACATTGTTTGATGGGTGGGTTTTTTTCTTTCAAAAACGGGCATCAGAATTTCATTTTAATGTGTGCCATTGTGTACACAGAAAAATGACAATAAAGGTTATCCTATGTTATAATTCTATTTCTCTTTTTCTCCCATTTTATTCCATTGCAAGGAAATGTGTTGTGCCTCTTTATTTTGAATAACACATCAGCACACACTGGTTATGCAAAAATGATCACCTGGAATTCATTATAATGTAGAATCACAACCCACTACTGTGAATAATTCATTGTTATATAACATGCATCTTATTTTTGTTACCAGAGGATAATCCTGAATCACAAGTTGAGGGAAAAAAGAAAAACCACCCCGAAGTGGGTGTGCTTTTCCTTCTTATGAGAGAATTTGGTGATTATTTGCCACATTGCACCATGGTTTCAGCTAAACCACAGAGAAAAAGCAATGAGAAGGGATGACTGGGGAGGAACATAATGATTAAGATGAAATTGGAAAAGTGTTGTCTGCACTGAAGCATAATCAGCTGTAAATTGTTCACTTCATACAATGCTCCTACAGAGAACACATTTACAAGTATAAAGCAGCTTTTTGAAGTGTATCCTCTCAAGTAACTCCTATGAACTTATACTTGGATACGACTGAATAGAAGAAGAAGAAAAAATTAAGACGATAGAAATTCCCCTCTTGTTTTCTGCCAGTTTGTAGAGGAGCATCTAAATTATATAATGAGGACTAAGTAAGTTAAGAGCCATAATGGTGCAGTGGTTAGAATGCAGTATTGCAGGTTGATTCTGCTGACTGCCGACTGCCAGCAGTTCGACAGTTTGATTCTCACTGGCTCAAGGTTGACTCAGCTTTCCATTCTTCCAAAGTCGGTAAAATGAGGACCCAGATTGTTGGGGGCAAAAAGGTGACTCCGTAAACTGCTTAGAGAGGGCTGTAAAGTACTGTGAAGCGGTATATATAAGTCTAAGTGCTATTGCTAAGTATCTCAGAATGCTGGATGAATATTGCAATATGGGTAGGAAATTGGCTGTGCTGGTTGGTTAGAAGAATAATTCACAGCCCAACATTTGGCTGTGGCTCCATAACTTAAAGAGTCACTCATGATTTCAATTTCACTTTTTAACATATTTATTTAAAAGATTTATATGCCACCTGCCAGCAAAACATCCAAGTTATTATAGCAATAGTACTTAGACTTATATACTACTTCATAGTGCTTTGCAGCCCTCTCTAAGCAGTCCCCCCCCCAATCTGGGTCCTCTTTTTACTGACTTCGGAAGGATGGAAGCCAGTCTGGCAGAATGCATCCTGCATTCTAACCACTGCGCCACCACGTTATTATGTCTGATTCTTCAGATGAACTGAATGTACATCTTATTTAATCATATTTCCTTTGATGTACTTTTACAGCAAAGGGTAAGAGAATTGTTAGTAGATAGGAAGATAAACCATTTTGCTTATTTGTTTATTCCATAGTTCCAGTTTCATGATCTATCACTGTACTCAATTTTCGGCTGATCTGGAAAGTTAAGCAGGTCAGCATTGGTTCCTTCTTGGATGAGAGATTCCCAAGAGAATCTTGGACTAAATCGGGAAGGAAGCAATAGAAAACCATATCCATATTATTGCCAAGAAAATTATATG